TAATAATAATAATAATAATAGCACTATAATAATAATAATAAAGAATCACAAAGAAAAAAAAAATTAAATTCAAAAGTGAGAAACAATATATATATATATATATATATATATATATATATATATATATATATATATATATATATATATATATATATATATATATATATATATATATATATATATATATATATATATATATATATATATATATATATATATATATATATATATATATATATATATATATGCTGATAACCCTGAAGATGTGAATTACACGAAAGCGCTTGGGAACTTCGTGTTTTCTTCTTTTCCTTGTGGTTATCAGCATATACCTAGATCACGCGCACCTACAGTGATTTATATATATATATATATATATATATATATATATATATATATATATATATATATATATATATATATATATATATATATATAGTGTTGTCAATAGTAAGATAAACAATTGAGACCCTGCAATGGTGTGTAAATGAAGCAGAAAGTCAGATCAGCAACCTGGGACTTGGTCACAATTTTCGTGATGCCATATTGCCATATGGCAGCAGGGTCTACCATTAGACAATACATTATGCTTCCTTATTAGCATTAATAATGACACTGTATATTATCTGGGTCATTCTTCCTATTTTCATATAGCAGTTCTATAACACCTCTTATACTGAGCTCATCATCAACATCATCATCTCTGTTTTAAGACTATTTCCCACGCTTGTGTTGACTGATGATAAATAATTAGTTTTACACTCAGGTGTCTCCTTCCTGTAACTTTTAGGCCAAGTTTTGTATGCAGTAATTAAAAATGTGCCAATTAATTGGTATCAGTATGACGTATAGGCCTTAGACCTTTAATAATTCTGAATTATTATCATGAAAGTCAATGTTTAGGTAATCAATCACAAATATACACACAGTGAGTGGAGGGCTGTGCTAGTAGAGAATATTTTACTCTTATCTCATGCACACACGCTCCAAAGAATATCTTCACGATTTTGTGTTGGACAATACGACATACTTTTTGGAGCATGTCTTTACTGTTGCAGGCAAAATTTCCCCAACACTTGACAGGATCTGCCATGTAAGTATTTGTCCACAACTATACATATATTATGCACTCATTGACTATACCAACACCCTCTATATTTTCCCTTCATATCTCCCTCTCATCTCTCTTGTCCTCTGCCTCAAGTGCATCAGTAGCTCATTCTTCTTGGTCACCATGCAATTTAGACTTATTACAGTGTTCATTAGGAGTGGGTTATGTTTCGTTGATAAGATTTTAGTCTTCGGGACGGCACGCCGCTTGGCTGTTCCATCACTGTATTTTTCTTATGGAGATTCTTACTGATTGTCATGTTTTCTCCTTTCTATCTTCATACAAACAATAAACAAGCAAATGTCATTCTTTCATTTCTTTGTAAAAAGAACCGGACTTTGTTACTTGACTAAAAATATTGTTACATCTGCAAAAGAAGTAAAAGTATCCAAATTTCAATGTAGTCAAGTAGAAGTAAAAAGTATCTCATACATAAAGTACTCAAGTACTGAAAGCAAAAAAGTAACAACAAAATTATTAATTGTCTCAAAAATTTAAATAAATCCATATAAAGGTAAAAAAAATAGTTAACTGAAGATAAAAATAAAAGACACACAGCATTACACATATTTATTTATAATTTTCTCTATTAAGATTAATCAGTAACTGTTTCTCGAAATTATGACTGTCCAATCAGGTTCTTTTAGGCCTAAATATAAGCCCAGCATGACCTACCGAAAGAGAATACGTTCAGCCGCTCTTCTCCTTAGAATCAATCGCAGGGATAGTGAACTGGCTGAAACTATATCCACCCAACACTATGATCACTTTCTTCCTTATCCACACAAGTATCGTCTACGTGGACTTATGGTCTGCAGACATAATGTTGTCTCTGCTAACATTAGGTTAAGATACAGACTATCTGGCAAGTATCTGAGGGTGGGGGAGGTGACCCGCACTTCTCTTCCTGTAAACTCTGTAACTGTCCCAATGCTAACACCCATCAACACTATTGCCTTGATCAATGATTCCCAGCATGGCTTCACAAGTAGACGTTCTTGTCTAACTAATCTATTAACATTCTGTTCATCAGTTTTCGAATCGGTGGACGAGGGGCACAATTATGATGTGGTATATCTCGACTTTAGCAAAGCCTTCGACAGAGTCCCCCACGAAAGACTAATTAGAAAGGTAGAAGCACATGGCATCAAAGGTAACATCCTTAAATGGATTACGGCGTGGTTACAGGACAGGAAACAGCGAGTGAGCATTAACGGTACTAAGTCCCATTGGAGCAACGTCACAAGTGGAGTTCCCCAAGGCTCAGTACTTGGACCATTATTATTTATTATATACATAAACGACATAGATATCGGCATAGACAGCAACATAAGTAAATTTGCTGATGACACTAAAATAGGACGTGTTATTAAATCTGACGAGGACTCAGCAAAACTACAGGAAGATCTAAACAAATTTTTCGAATGGTCTGAAAAATGGCAGATGAAATTCAACATGGACAAATGTAAAGTACTCAGTATAGGAGATGTAAACAGGGAAACCAGATACCAGATGAACAACGATGCCATAGAGAAATCCGACTGCGAGAGAGATTTAGGAGTAATGATAAGTAGGAACCTTAAGCCAAGTAAACAATGTGTTTTTGCTCGTAACAAGGCTAATAAAGTACTTGGGTTCATACAAAGGAGTGTTAGTTACAAGACTAGCGAGGTCATCCTAAAACTGTATCTTGCTTGTGAGACCACACCTGGATTACGCAGTTCAGTTCTGGTCACCGTATTACAGAATGGATATAGAATCATTGGAAAGAATTCAGAGGAGAATGACAAGACTAATCCCGGGCATTAGGAACCTTGAGTATAGAGACAGGTTAAAGCATCTTAATTTGCACTCCCTCGAGAGACGTAGAGCGAGGGGCGACCTGATAGAGGTGTTTAAGGAAGTCAGGGCTAAACAAAGGGGACATTACAAAGGTACTCAAACTATCCAACCAGGAGCGAACTCGTAACAATGGTTTTAAATTAGACAAATTTAGATTTAGGCGTGAAATAGGTAAACACTGGTTTGGAAACAGAGTAGTGGATGAATGGAACAAGTTACCAAATATCATCATTAATTCGAATACGCTGAATAGCTTCAAACATAGGTTGGATGCTTATATGAGCAATAGGGGTTGGGTGTAAACGGGACTGCCCAGTATGGGCCAATAGGCCCGCTGCAGTTTCCTCCTTTCTTATGTTCTTATGGTCTTGTGACTAGGCTTGTCGCCTCATGGGGTGTAATAAATTAATTAAATAATAAATAATAAGTCCATTATGACTAAACAGATGCTCACAAGCAGCAGCTGCAGGTAATGGGGTGTTAAGCTTGAGAGATAAGTCACATAAAGTCGGAAAGACCTCAGTAGCTCCATTCCTTCCCCTGGGCACGCCAAGTAGCTATCAAGCTCCTTCAGTTGAGGAGTTTGTGGATGATTGTTGCCTCCATAGTGACTGAGTCTGATTATGAGTCACTGTGAAATGTTCCTCTAATTGGGGTGTGGCTGTGGTGACATCACGTTTCGATTCTAATTGATGAGTGGCTGAATTTTTTGCACCACATAACGTCTGGCGGGTACTGGGGGGGGGGGGAGGTCGTGGGAGTTGTACTTAGTTATTTAAGCAGAATTTTAAATACACTCAGTCTCACACATGTGTATAGATATAGGCTTTATATCTAAGACGGAATTATGTAAAGCATTTTAGAATCACAGCCTCGAAATACATTTTAGGTACAAGTATACACAAAGAGCAACTAACGTCTAACGGGAAGGCCAAACCCCTGAAGGAAAGGTGGGGGAGAAGAGAGGGGATTCGATGGGGGAGGAGGGGATAAGAGGGTAGGCTAAGTAAGGTGGGTGGTCAAGAAGCTAATGTACATAACAAAATCAAAAGGAAAGTCCGCTGTCATGGCCACTGCCACCTGACCCCAGACCTGACGTCACCTCACCTCATGAGACCTCTAGGTATGTGACCGCGAGGTGTCAACCCCACACCCACACCGTACCCCTCACAGCTTCACCCACACCATACCCTCCACCCACACAATTCTTTTACGATTTTTGTTATTCAGTTGTATTGGACTAAAAGAATTAGAAAACCATACTTAAGTAAAAGTTAAAGTACTAAAAAGTTTGAGTACTTTTAATAAGTAAATACCCAAAAATATTACTTGGGTACAGTACTCAAGTAAATTTCTTTAGTTACTTTACAATACTGTTCACTACTGTATTTGCATTGTTTAAGGATTGTATGGGGTCATAGTTCAAAAGACCAAAAATTTTATATTTTGAAGTACAGACCAAAGGAGATGAAGTTTGGCACAATTTTATCTTGATATTAGCCCTAAATAGTGGTTCAATTTTACAGGGATCAAAATTCTGCAGGAATGTACAATTAAGGGTTTTTGGTCCGTTATAGATTCCTGTGACTGAAAATGCTGGCATCTTTAATTTACATCTGTTTTCTTTGATCTACATATTGTAAGTTGTTGGACATAACAGAGAATTTGTATCTAGTCCTTGTCACTGTTAAGTTGGAGACAAAAACTGCATTATTATTAAGTGTGTGAGTGGGAGTTGTTACTCTAATGAATAATGTAATAGTGTACTGGTGTTATGGCAGATTATATCCAATCTTAGTGCACCTCAGTTGAAGTAAAGCTAAATATATTCGATATACTGTGTAGTAAGTTTACAAAAAAAAATATAATGGAAATATTTTGTTGTGTTGTTAGAAAAATCTAAATATTAACTAAGAAATTGGTTGTTTTGAACACTAGAAGATCAATACTGTATGTGTTTATATTGGTAATGCATTACCCTAATGAGGTTTGCCATACAAGCAGCATTTTGTATGATCTCATATTAATGGAGCACTTTGTTTTACAGAGCCGCAAAGGAAGTCGAGAAAAGGTACTTTCTCTGGTATTTATAAAATATATCTGTCTGTTTTGCATGTAAACACATCCAAGTGTCTTGCCTTAAACAAACCACGTTTTATATTCGTAAGTTTCCTCTACTAGATATTTACTTGACTTTACTCAGACATGGGAGACCTACAGAGGGCGAAGACCCATGACTGGTCTATCTCTCATGATAACACCACAGAGGGAGAAGACCCATGACTGTTCTATCTCATGATAACACTACTGAAGCATAAACCCATGACTGTTCTATCTCTTATGATAACATTACAGAAGAAGACCCATGACCGTTCTATCTCTCATGATAACACTACAGTAGGAGAAGACCTATAAATCATTTGTCTCACTGTTGATACTCTTAGTTTACCAGCAACATTGATATTCTCATGTTTTTGCCATAAATTTTCAACATCTTTTTTTTTTTGGTATATTATATTATTTTTACCACTAAGCATTTTTTCACTTTAAATTGTGTGTTTATCAGTTAACTGTAATACTTATACATACCCTATTGTGTGTGTTCATAGGGCACCTTTATTTAGTCTGCAAAAAATAAATAAAAATAGCACGTTCCTTACTAACTGGTAGATGAATCCTTCATCACAGGTTTCAAGTGTTGATTAACCATTGAGTGTGAAGTAATGGGTAGATGTTCTGCATGTTTCACCAAGCTTTAAATGTAAGAATCTGTATTCGCTAATCATTATACAGATATAATATATATTTTACTTCTGTAGTTTATTAAAACTTTTGGTGTTGAACTTTAATTTAATGTGGTTATTTTCAGTGCTGTAGCTAATTGAGAAATGTAATTATAGTACACACAATGTTACATGCACATATGAATGTGATTGTGAAGGTTATAAGTACAGTTAGTGCCCTCTTAGTATACATTTGGTGATATTTACAGTACATTTTATAATGGTAGTTTTTTTCTGTGCAATGTACAGCCCCCAAAAGAAGTATCGTTAGCCATGGGGTCGGTGTGAGTCGAGGCTTTCCGAGCAATGTTGCTCGACCTGTTTCTGAATGGTTGGTAGTGTTACATCCGCGACCTTTGAGCATGAATGAGTATTTACGTTTTCGAATGATGTGAATCCTCCGAGGCTTCAGATCATATATTACATGAATTTGAGTGGATGTCGTAAATGGATACCAACGCCATGCCAGCCATCAGCCCCCAAAGGAAGCCGCCTTGATGCTGTGGGTGAGCTTGATAGTCCTGATGATCCGGTAAGCAGTGCCAGAAGGGGGCAATGGTTTCGCATACTGGGTCGGTCACCGTGGAGGGTCCAGAAAAATTGGCTCCTATCCTGCTGCTGGTTTTGAGAAAAGACCGGCAGCATCGACCCCAGCCCAGACCACCGTAGCTGGAATACTCTCCCAATTTCCTATAACCGCCTCCCGCTGGTGTGTTATCCAGGTTGGATGTGAGTAAGGCACATGGACCGGACGGAATACCCCCTCGTGTTCTGAGGGAGTGTGCTAAAGCTCTGGCTCCTGTGTTTGCTCGCCTCTTTCGCCTTTGCCTCAAAACCCAAACTTTTCTTTCTTCTTGGAAGCATGTCCTCCCGAAAGTTGGGAATGATGTATAGATGCCGTAGCTACTTCACTCCTGAGCAGTTGCTCCATGTATATAAGGGATTCATTCGTCCTAACTTGGAGTACTGCTCTCATATCTCGGGTGGCTCTTCTTCTGTCCAACTACTAAATAGGGTGGAATCAAAGGCATTTCGTCTTATTAACTCTCCTCCTTTTAGTCGACAATCTCTCTTCCATTTCTCTTTGCCGCCATGTTGCTTCACTCTCTCTCTTTTACAGGTACTTTAAAGGACAATGTTCGGTGGATTTGGCATCCTATGTACCGCCGGCAAGGCCGTGAGCTCGTAACACCGTTTCTCTGTGGCTGTCGGTCACACGAGAATAACCCGTTATAGTGCCTCCTTCTTTCCTCACACAGCCAAACTGTGGAATGATCTGCCTTCTTCTGTGTTTCCATACTTATACAATCTGTCTCACTTTAAAAAGCTGGTTTTCCGGCATCTTCGTGGTGTAGATTAATACATTATGACACTGCTTGAAGATGTGGCATCCTAAAAGAGCGCCACAATTTTGGCTTGCGGGTAAAGTTACCATCAATAATCTGTCATTTTTGGGGACATCGCACTTTTATGGTCCGCGTATCCACAAAAATGTCAGCACCACATATTCAGTAGGACGGGGTTCCTCAGGACAGTGTCTTGAGTGTGATCCTATTTCCCATCGCAATAAATGCGATAGCAGCATCAGTTCCAGGTGGTGTATCAATCTCATTGTATGTAGACAACTTGGCCATTTGGTAAGCAGCTTCCCGTAAGTCAGTGGCAGGACGTCGCAGGCAACTTGCACTAGACAAGGTTTCATGTTGGACCACTGAGCATGGTTTCAGATATTCTCCCTTGACGACCGTTGCCATACATGTCAGCCACCTCCAAGGTGTCCACCCAGATCCTGAGCTACAGCTCTATAATCGTCGTGTGCGATGTGTCACAGAGACCCGTTTCCTGGGTATTATCTTTGACAACTGGCTAATGTGGTAGCCACATAATTATTATCTCAAAGAGTCTTGCCAGTGTGCTCTCAAGTTATCGAGAGTCTTGGGGCACACGTCATGGGGTTCTCACCAAGGAACTCTGCTACCCCTTTACCACATGCTAGTTAGACCCAAACTGGATTATGGGTGTGAGGTGTACTCCTCAGCCACTGAGACTAGACTCAATACACTGAACTCTATTCATCATGCTGGGGAGCGCCTGGCGACCGTTGCCTTCAGGTCTTTGCCAATCCCAAGTCTGCTAGTTGATGCTGATGAGACACCCTTGATCTTCGACGTCAGTATCTCCAGGTCCAGTGTTGGTTTCGCCTCCACCACCTTCCACAGTCTGTAACCAACACTTGTGTAGTTGACGAGACTATGTCCCCACACTACACTCGCCATCCAGGTCTCCCATGACCTTTTGGCATAATGTTAAGGGAGGTTGTGAGTTTTCTTTGTCTTCCTCCTGTTCAGATATTTCCCATGAGGTTCCCTAGTGCCACGCTGTGGATTCTCCCTGAAGTGTTACTGTAATCATGGGTCAGTGGCTTGTTTACATATGCTTTGCTTCTATCCAGCACGATACATACATTAATATAACTTAATGGATTTCTTGTTACGTTGAAGTATCTAGTGTGCCATACAAGGACAAAGCCCTCCCTCAACTCTAACTGTTGCCTATATGGCGAGCCGGCATACCAGCTTATGGTGATGTACAGGGGATCATTTCAAAAAGATTCGTTTAGCAATTCAAATTGTAGCAACGGAAAATCAAAAAGAGACTTTTTTTGAGGACTTACTCATTTTGTACGGACCACAGTGTACAGTGGTTCGAACCCGGGCAATCCCAGTTCACCCAGCTTCAAATGGGTACCTAAATTTACAACTTGGGGAAATTAATGCTGCTGAGTGCAGTACCGGCCATGCTGCCTCCTTGTGTACCGAAGGCTTATTTTACAATGCGCTGTAACCACATTGTCCTTAACAGGCAGTCATGCCTAGGAGACCCACTTTCACGTTTATTGAAAGAGGTGCTATTATAGCATGCGGTCTACAAAGATATCTTTAGTCTACCCTAACCTAACTTAACCTAACCTAACTATCTTGCAGACTGCACGCTGTAGTAGCATCTTGAAAGACATGTACACCCACTAAAAAATTATTCGGCACCCGTGTCATATTGTATCACGCCGTAAGAGAGCCGAATAATTTTTTTAATGGGTGTACATGTATGTATCGTGCATCTATACATGTGTGTGCGTGTACAAGTATCATGTATACCCACTAAAATGTTATTCGGCACCCTTACGGCGTGATACAATAAGACACGGGTCCCTACGGTGATGTTTGTGACCATGTGGCAGCACCGCACCACAGTACTGTACTACTAGGGTAAACTTCTGAATGAATATAAATTAATCTTGTAATATTGGAGAGAATTAGTGTTAATTTTGCTTGGGTCGTGGTCACTGCTAGCTGTGTTTACAGTCTACTGTACAGGATATTTTGTGCTGTGATCAAATATTATACTGCACCCTACAGTCCTATGGATGAAAAGAGAAAGAAACTACAATAGGTGCTGCTGCATCATTTAGCATTAAGAAGAGGCATGGTATTAGTTTTGGGTGAGAAAATTATGAAATTTCCCCATCAAAATCCCCCGAGAGTCGCCCTTCTACCTCCAAGTAATAACTTCTCTTCTTCTCTGTAACTACTCCTCAAATTCAGTATACAAGTGGATATGTTAATTTAAGGTAAGAAATTGTGATACTGTAAGAGTATTATCGCATTATTCTTACTGTTGTTACAACCTTCACACCCTCTACCAGGACCCACTAGAGGATGTATAGTCAGCCCATAGGCCCATTATATCGGAGGAGACTCTGAAATAACAGCTTCTGTTAACAGAGAAGTTAAATATTAAACACAGACCTTAACCTTATTTCTGGCTAACAACCTCCTGACAGCTGACAGGTGTTTATTTCAATACCATTGTTCCCATTAAAACTGGTTTAATCAAAACACAGCTTTAAAATTACAACAAAATATAATAAATGTGTGCTCTCCGTCCAGGTGCATACAAAAGGCCACAAATCAATTCACTCAGAATAATGTTATCTCCACCAAATACAATGTTCTCTCACTACTACAATACTCTTTAGACTATAATGAACACATCACACTTTAGTTAACATCATAATTATCCAAGATTGTCCACATAATAATAGGTAAATATGCACCACACAAGCTTGGCCCTCCTATCCCCCACTACCTAGCTACCGAGAGTGCATCAAAATCAAAACAACGCTCCAATACTTTCTTGTTTCATCAACATATAATTTCTAATTTTTTTTATGCTTCACACCTGCCTCTTACAGTCTTTCATAATTGTATAAAAAATAAGGATACATTCTACATAGTTTACATAATGAAACGAATACTAGTATACATACTTATTTAAAAATAATCAAGACAATTTTCAAAGTCTTTACCATAGGTTTGGAAATTCAATTCTAAGGAAAACGGGAAACAGCCGAAACTAAATACAATGGGTAACTGAAACAAATATTGAGAGAAAGGGGTGTACAGCTGACAGGAATCATTCAGGAGACAAATTTAGTCTGTGTGCAGCTGCTGATGCACCAAAATTATTATAAGTTTAATGATATTGGTTGGGGTCCGTGTTATATTTGATGACATTTTTCTCACTTAAATGGTACTGTATTGTACTGTACTGTACTGTACTGTACTGTACTGTACTGTACTGTTCGATTGTCTCATTTTATTTGTTCCCTTTTAGTATTAGAGGCAGTTCGGGGTAACAGGGGTAGTGATCCGGGCTGTATCTCAATCTATAACTTTAAGTTTCAATTGGAAATTAATGTCCGCTTAACATACTGTACGTTTAGTCAATGTAAGGGTGTTGTGGAAGGTATGTTAAGCGAACACTGACTGTATCATTTGATGAAATCTATATTCTGTACAGTACTTGTATTTAAGCTGACACAGAACACCAGTACATCGTGCATGTATTTTACTATATCACAATTGTCTTTACCATTGAAAATTTTTATTTGCTCATCTTTTGCTGTATCTAATAGTTTTGTTTTGTTTTCCACCCCAGTCCTTCCAACGTTACCATCAGCGTCCTCTGCCACACCCGCTGGAGGGCTGCGAAGGTGATATTAGCAAAACCCCTGAAGAATCTGTATGTTCTATTGAAGGCCCTTCAGTACTGTCTGTGTATGCTGATGGTCCCTCAGACATAGGAACACCATCAATCCTGCACAGATCGTATAAATTATGAAAACATCATCCAAGGATGCATGATACATCGTCCAGCACTGTAGATGAGGCCAGACTACCCTAAAAAAATGGTTATTCTTTTATCATCACTTCCTTATTTTGATGAACCTCCCAATAAAGCACAGGAGACTGGACTACTTCATATAGTTTTAAGAGAGATTTAAATCATCGTCCAAGTGTGTACAACATAGTATGTACAAATCAGATGACAGTTAGTCAACTAAATATGGGTAGAATATGTATCTTAGATTTATAGTCTTACGATTTATATAGATAATTAAAATCTGTTTTAGACTGAACGTTAACTTAGATAAGTGAAAAATATTATGTAAATTTAGTAACACTGGTACCACATATAAAAGTGGAATATGCTTTGTGTTGTGGTATTATAACTTTTTGGCCCAATCAAGGGTGCATTTGCACTACATCCTAGTCTTGTCACATATGTTAAACACTTTTACTAGGCTACTGTTAATTGCTCCCCGTTATTGTGTTTTACATAACTCAAATTACCTTCTCATAAAAGCTCCACCAAGTTCTTTTCACACTGATGGACTAGACGAGATACACACGACAGTACCACCTCCATTCATACAATTGACATATTCAAGCTTAAAAGAGAAAGAGAACCTGAGAATCATACTTACAAAATGTGAATTTCCATCAGCAAAACCTGCCAGGCATAAAACATCATAAAAGTGTAATTGTGTAACATATGGACACACCCTTTAGTTGTTCATATATTTATGCAAAAAATAATGTTATTTATTGCAGCAAACTTATGGTGACAAAAAATTCATGAAAGTCTGATACTGAAAAGTTGATAATACAAAAATTGGTTATTTGCAAAATAGTTTTTGGTTCAGAGAAAGAAATATTAGACTATACAAGAGAGCATCATATCTTATGTTAACACAGGCACATTTAAAGCCTATCCAATCTGGACCAGTTCTTCCTGGGGATGGTTTAATTATGTATAGTATAGGGTCTACACTGTAGCAAATTTCCTTTAAATCAAGCTATTTTGCCTTGAATCATTGATATAATTAGATATACATTTTTTTTTTAAACTCAGGTACTCATAAAACAAATTGTTAGCTGATGGTTTTGAGAGTAGTGAAAGACCATCTGTATTATTGATTACATGACGCATGCATTCCTTAGTGTTCTTATCATATGTGGTGGACTTACTTAACCCATACTTCTTTACCAGAATCACCACACTCTAGGATCTCTAATATTGGTACAGTACGGCATGCCTTCACTTTCAGCTGTTCAATGAATGTGTTAACACACTATAGGCAATCCAGTACTGTGTAACACAGAAAGATACTTAAAAAAAATATCCATGCAGGTCTACTGAGAGCCAACATACTCGGTAGCTGTCACGTGACATCAATCGTCTGTTCAGCTGACTGGGCTACATGAGTTGCATGTTTACATTCTAGACTTTCGTACACAAGCCAGAATTGGATCTGAATCTAAGAACTTCTGAAAATCGTTCATGTGTTCTATGTCCGGAAAAAATTGGATTTGGTTATTTTTTGTACTGTAATTGCTGGTTCACCACCTTAAAGATAATATATTCGTTGGTGATTTGATAATACTGTAAAATCACGTATTTCAGCTCTATCTATAGGGAACGTTTAACATGGCACATTTATAAACAAACGAATTGAAAGTAGCAACAGTCAAATAATGACCTAAAAATCAAGTTCAATACACTTAGGTGTGACAAACCCAGATATATCAGGTTATGCGGGGTCAAAACAAAGGCATCAAGACAGTTAAATTCTTTATGCTAAGTCAGTGGACTTGACTAACATGCATTGAGCAGCATCATGGCAGACAAAGTACTTTGGAGCCATCAGGTTAGGGGGAAGTGTCTCGGTGACCTCTCCTTAGAAAACAGCATGAGAGTGTTTAACTTTTATTCACATATCCAACCAGAAAGTAATTTTATGCAATAAAATGTGTTTTCAAAATATTCACAAAAATCTAATTTGCATTATCAAGAAACAATTACGTATATTGTACAACTTTTGAATGAGTGCACACTGAGGTATGCAAGCAGCTTCGTATTGTTATTTACATAATGTTTGAGTTATTTAAGCCTGCAGTACATTCTGGGTTATTTAGGTAAAACTGAATAATGATTTAGTGATCTCAAGGAAATTGGAGACTTCTGAAAATTGCTCACATATTTCTGCTGTTACACAAAGTTTTGTCATGACACAACTTATAGTCTGATAGCGTCTAATTAGTGCAGAAACAACAAATCTGAAACTCAGCTGTAGCTCAAGCAGTTGGTGTTGTACAATATAGAAATCACATCAAAATATGTTTTCTCATGCCTGTTCAAATTGTTTTCACTTAATTCGGTACTAAAACCTTCTCCTGTACTGCATATGTGTTTTAGTAAAGTCTTACTTGTGGAAATTACAGCATCAGCAGCACTTCTTGTAAAGTAATTTCCTCTATCTGTCTATCTATCATTTTGAATGTCATTTAATAAGATCAACAGTCAATATGTTTTCTTTGGTTAACCTTTGTTGAGGGTAACACAGTGTGCAGTGTGACAAAGGGCAATAAACCAAATTACATGAATATAAGTTTTATATCTACTAGTCATGTCCTACGTCAAACCACGAGATTGCATGTAAAATTTTAACCCGTCCTCACTCTCTAAAGATTTTTACCTTTGATTTATTGTCATTTTTCTCCATTACCTGAATTAACACCAAAGTGTTCCACTTAATGCCTTAAGCTTTTATCACTGGAATTAAGATCCCTCATCATCACAAGTTCAGGTATTTTAGATACTGTACAATAAAAACATCTAGCATCTTAAAAAATTTTAAAAAGGAAAAAATATTTCTCCTGTTTATGAAAGAATGATTTTGTTACACAGTATTAAAGAATCTTATATGCTCATAACGTTTCTGAAGTATTTATGAAAGATTAAGTTTGTATCTTTCCTTTACAGGGAGTTGCAGTAATTAATGTGCAGTAAGCAAGTGCTTCACAACTATGAGGGTATCATCGCCATAAACTGCACATATTTCTTAATAAATTTCAGTCAACCAATCATTATGTTACAAACCTTTTCCCAAGGATGTCTTTTGTTAATGTTTCCACTTCAAGTCCTTACATTCAGTAACTTCAAAAAAATCTCCTACGGTAAAATAGTCATAAATGGGATGTAAGACCTTTTAACTGTTCATGTGTGTAATGTAAATATCAAATCTTCTTTTCATAATATTCTATTGCTTCCTAATACCTCTTTATTTTCAGAACTTGCTTTAGAATTTGATTCTTAAGTTTTTTAGTTAGCACACACACACACACACACACACACACACACACACACACACACACACACACACACACACACACACACACACATACATATACACACACACACACACACACACACACACACACACATACACACACACACATACACACACACACACACACAGTCTACTTGGCTACTGTAATTGAGATGATTTTGTTCAGGAATAATTATTTTAGTCGCCCTTCATTGCGCATTTTCTAGTATTTTATGTCTTTTCAAGGTGTGGTATCTGTGCCTGTATATAATAGTCCAGATAGGGACACACAGGATATATATAAAGTTGAATTATATTTTTTTTCTTATGATATTCAAAGATATGATTTATGACTCCTTGAGTTTGTTCAAGAGTATATATTCCAGTGCTAACACCCTTTAAAAATTCCATGCATTTTTTTTCAGTATGATTGTGATATATTGCTGACTATTCACCTCCTCAAACATCTTCATATTGTCTGCAAATTTGACTCTGTGGTTTGATGTATTTCCATATATCCTTTTATTGTAGATCACAAAAAGGGTAGGTCCAAAGATAGGTCCTTGAAGTACTCCACAGAGAACCTCTTTCTCTACTCTGAATGTACTATATATATGATCATTTTTTGGTGCCTGTCTTTCAGCCACTGTATATTTTGCCCCAATAATTTGCCTGTGATATGATGTGCTTAGATTATTTAGGCTAGCTGTGCATGTGAAACTTTGTCAAACATCACAGAAAATCCATGTACAACACATCCACTGGTAAACCTTGGTCTATGTAGTCTGTTAACATTTCAAGGAATGTCAATAAATTTGTCACACCTGATGTCCTCTCTATGAAACCATACCATTGAAGAGACTGTGTACTGTACTGTCAGGAGTTGGATGATGGCGTCTTTCTAAATTTCTCAAAGAATTTATATATACAGTATGTGATGTTAAGGTGATTGGTGTACAATTTCCTGCCTCACCCTTTCTCTCCTTCTTGAATATTGGAGTGACTTTGGCTGATATCCAGTCTCTAGACACTTCCTTGATCCGCGGATTTTATGAATAGTTACCATAGTTACAATATTTACCTAATGGCCACCAAACGGGAGTTGGCCATACTGAAAGTAGGAGGCCAGTGGCCTGTGTATGATCCCTCTATTGTTACTGATAGTGATTCTAGTTAAGTGTAAATCTCATTCTCTACGTATTTTATTACTTTCGTCCATGTTTCATCCACATTTGTAATTGCTACGTCTCTTCATTTTCGACTCTTCAAATATTCATCCTCCCAGTTATTGGCATATTATCCAGTGTCTCTTGTGTGAACACTGATGCAAGGTATAAATTTAGGATGTCTTCTCTCCAGAATCAGGATCTTTTCATCCTTAAGAAGGCCAACAGTATCTCATATCTTCGCTTTTCCTGTAGTATATGTATAAAAGGACTTTGAATCTTAATATTTTGGGCCAGTTTTTATTAAAATGTCTTTTGCTGTTCTTAATTCTTCATCAGTGAAATTTGTTGCTCTCTTGTATACTACATAGTCCAGATTATTTGTAAATGCTGTATTTTTTCCACGTGATATTTCCTTTTGATGGCTGCATTGGCTTTTTGGCTCATTCATCTGAATTTCATTCCTCTCTCCTTTGACTTTTAGGAAATTCATTCTTCTACAACTGCCGCAAGAATTTCTTTAATTGTTTGCCACAACACTTTTATGTCTGATTCCTCCTGAACGATATTCCCCTCCCCCCCCTTCCCCATTTATTCGCAGTCGCCATGGTTGAAGTTACATTAATCTTCTTCTAATGCTTTAACCTGACTTTCTAACATTGTAATCCACTTTATTATGTTGTGGTCACTGGCAGGAGTGAATTTTCCCCCAATGTGGATCTCGTCCACCATAACCCCCTTAGTGGCCAAGACTAAATCCAGGATGTTATCTCCCCTTATGGGTTCCGTCACGTGTTGTGTGAGATGTGATTCTTTTGGCCTGTCTACAATCCTGTTCTGGGGCTCTTTAGTTCGATTCCCGGGAACTCCCAGTTCACCCAGCTGTAAATGGGTACCTAGGTTTACAACTTCCTAAGTTTACAACTTGGAGAAGTGAATGCGGTCGAGTGCAATACTGGACATGCTGCTTCCCTGTGTACCAAAGGCTTAGCATACTGTCCCTTATGGGCAGTCATGGATCTGGGATCCACTTTCACTTTTTCTCAATCCTTTTTATTTTGTGTAAGATTCACTTCCTCGTTTCATCTTTCTTTTTCTATACATTATCTTTAAAATTGCATTTGTCATTCACTTTTAGTCTCATTCCTCTTTGTCTTATAAATGTTTCTCTCACTTTCTTTGTAATTTTTAAATTGTTGTCCAAGTTCTTGTTCATTTAAGTCAACCTTTAGGAATACTGAAAATCTATTTTCGATTTAATTTTCATATTCTATCCCTGCCCATGTTTTGACCTTACTACTGGGATGTGGTCTGACCTACACTCGGCCCCTGGATAGGTCTTGGTTCGGGTTATTAAATTTTTTGTAATCTTTTCTGATTTAAAATATTATCAATTTAATTACTGACTATGTTATTTATATTGTCCTGGCGTGAGACCCATGTATAGAGATGCCCAGGGTGTTGTTCAAACCAGGTATTTGCAATTATCATCTTGTTTTCCTTACGGAAGTCAGTTAATGTTTTTCTCTCTCATTTCTATTACCCAACCCATGTGGTCCTACATATGGTGCTTCTTTCCCTTTCCCAACTTTTGCGTTAAAATCATCCATCATAATATGACAGGAACACTGTCTTGCTTTCTTTAAGTCAATAATTTTTTTTCGAAGACTTCATTCTTACTCTAATTTGTTGGTGCAAAAACCTGCATTATGACCAAGTCCATGGGTTTAGCATTAAACTTGTCTAACAAAACTCTATCTGACACTGTCCAGTATCCCTTTACACTACTACTCAACTTCTGGTTTACAAGAATATCAACACCTCTCTCGTGTTTCTCACCAAGAGACTATATGAAGCAAGAAGCTTTACCGCAAATGCTATTTGAACATGTCCATCCTACTTCACCTAATCCCAGAATGTCTCACTGTCATTTTTTCATTTCCCTCCACACATTTGCATATTTACCAGTCTCATATAATGTCCTCACATTCCACGTTCCAATCCTTATTTTGTGTTTGTTCATTCTTAAGCCTTCTGTAATGTTAAATGTCCAAGGCTTTGTTTTGCGCGGACAGGACTTGCTAGTTCTTAGGGCCAATTGCAAGATCAGCCGTGGTATATACCACGCTGTGGTATCTCGGCGGTCGTAATACAATGGAGTAAAAATTGTGGGATTTTTCAAGATGGGCCATGGCGGTACCCGACCGTCGTTTGTTGTTACTACGTCATCGTAGTGTAGTAAGGTGTACCAACTGGCGGAAGACGGGGAAGTTGGTATGCTTGCACCCTCAAAACGTTGTCAGTGGCACGAAACGTTTACTCTTGCTACACGATTTACGAGCATGAAAAACTTGAATCCCAAGCTAAGGTGCACCTCATTTTCCTAGTTTCTTGGATTACATGCCAATTCTGAGAATGAAATACGGTCACTTATAATGAATATAGGTAAATAAAGCCTGTGACAACCATAAAAACGTATGAATAGAGTGTAATATCTGTTCCTTTCTTCTTTATCCTTATTAAGTCTAACAATAAAGTAATAAGTTTGCCACGAACTTGAGGTTAGGTCAGCGTAAATAAAGAGAAATATGGCCTGTTCTGTGGATGAAGTCAGTAGAATATAACAAAGTGTTAGGTACTATTATTTTGCTATGACAGTGATGAACCCACTGTACAGATGAATTGTTATAAAGTCTTGAAAAAATATCACCATAACTGTTAGTTTTCTATCAAACAGGAAATTATCTTTGCACAAAAAAATTTTACTTCATATTATACAAGTATAAAGGCCAGTTATCTACAAGATATGAAAACTTGAGATAATGTTTCCTACTTGTCTCCACCTGATTATAGTAATGTAATAAATACCCTTTCAAAAATGCATGGCATGAACACTTTCCCAATGTCAGGAGCAAAA